TCGAAGGTTCTCGACGGTGCGGCCGCGGCTACTGCTCTAACTCCCGCTAAGGTGCGTGTCGCGAAATTGCTGCGGCGGCGAGGCCGTCTCGACCCGGCTCTGCCGAAAACCCGCCGACCCCGCCGCGCTCGGCCGACGTCTTAACCGACGCGTCTTAATCGACGCGTCCTCAGGCTCGGCGGCTCGATGGTGCCTTCGAGAAGGACGCCCCCTTCATAGCCCCCTGAGCATGAAGGAGACGCACGGGTTGCTGAGGCAGGTGAACTCGTGCATACTCTCACATTGCAGCGGCGCCGGTCCCATCGAGGCCCTGGTCCTCGACGGCATCCTCGACGCCGTCGGCGTCTCCAAGGACATGAAGGTCCTCAGGACGGTCGCGTCCAAGGCGCTGTTCCTGACGCACGGCGCTACCGCAGTGTGGTTCGAGACCAACATCCTCGGCGGGCCGTTCTGCCTACCGCGACGACGTCGCTTACGCGTAGACCCCCATTTTCAGGGCACGCGCGCCTCGCCCGCGAAGCCGGCGAAGAGGCCCGCGAGCTCGCGGGCGTAGCGGTCCGGGTCGTCGGCGAAGAGGCGCACGTGCGCGGGCCCCGCGAACTTGGCGCGCGCGCACCGGTCCGGCCCGTGGTGCGTCTCGAGCACCGCCGCGAACTGCTCGACCTTGCGCGGCGTGATGAGCTTGTCGCCGTCGGAGTAGAGGCAGAGCGCCCGCGCGTCGGCGGCTCGCATCGTCGCGAGGAGGTGGTCGAGGGAGCCCGCGCGCTCGGGGTCGTCGCCGTCGTACGCGGTCGCGCAGTACGCGCGGACGTTGCGCTCGAAGGCCCGGTCCAACACCTGGTGGAGGGGCATGTCCATGGCCTTCAACTCCGCGGCGACGGATTTCGTGATGACCTGGTGGAAGAGCGCCGCGTCCGCGGCCTGTGTGCAAATCAACCACTGGTTTGGGACGTCCCGACCAAACTTTGAAATTCTCTAGCTCGGTCAAATCGAAGTCGATTCGGCTGATTTTTGGACGGATCGATTGCTCTCGTCGAGTTCTCGAAGCACAGCCGAAGAGCTTGTGCCAAAACATTCGAATACGCTCACATTGAAGTCGGGTTGAAGATTTGATTCGCACACGGTCCGCGGCCATGTCCGCCGCGCTGTCGAAGACGAACGCGTCCGCCTTCTCCTTCAACGTCGACGCCCCGAGCCGGTCGACGACGCCGTCCAGGCAGGCCTCGAGGCCGGCGCAGCCCTGGTTGCTGAAGGTGTGGAAGACGACGCGCGGCGCGCGCGCGACCGCGTCGACCAGCGTCTTCAGCTGCCGGTCCCGGAGCTCGTCGATGGCCGCGGAGCAGCGGCCCTTCACGAAGCCCGGCGTGCACGCGGCGGCGAGCGCCCAGCGCGGCGCGAGCGTGGCGTACATGTCGAGCACGGCCTCGTAGTCGTCGATGCCGCTGCCGCCCCAGCCGTGGAAGATCACCAACCCGGCGGCGGCTTCGGGCGGCGGCCCGCGCGCGCGGACCTCGAAGCCCGTCTGCGCCGCGGCGAAGCCGAAGAGCGCGCCGACGGCGACGCGGCCCCGGTCCGCGTCGGCGCCGGCGGCGAGCGCCATGAGCCGCGGGTAGAGCGCGGCGCGCGCGCGCTTGGGCTCGGGCGAGCGGAGCGCGGCGTCGCACGCGTCCCAGACGAGGTCCGGGGACTCGCCGCCGTCGGCGAGGGCGACGCAGGCGCGCTCGACGCGCCGCACGGCCTCGATGGACGCCTCCTCGGCGGCGACCTCGCCCGCGGCGGCCCTCGCCTTGGCGACCGCGGCGCTTACATCGGCCGCG